TGCTGGAGTTTGGCTAGTCTTTTCAATGGAAGTTTTAAACTAGAAAAGGGATTCATCTTCTGTAAATGCATATGTGGAAAGTACGTATTCATTCAATTTGAAGAGATTTAGATCTACTATCGTAGGGCGTAGGTTGAACTGAAAAGCAATATAGAAAGGAAAATCCTTCCTTTGGGCCGGGTTACTTTAAGATTGTAATGGAGAATATGTGAGATCCCACATCGGTTGGAGAGGAGAACGAACTATTTTTTATAAGAGTGTGGAAATCTCTCTTCAGTAGACGTGCGTGAGGCTGATGACAATACGTAACGAGCCAAAGTAGACAATATCTGTTAGTGGTGGGTTTGGACTATTATAAATGGTATTAGAGCCAGAACAGGCGGTGTGCCAGCGAGGACATTGGCACCTACGGGGGGTGGATGGTGAGATCTCACATCAATTGGAGAGGAGAATGAAGCATTCCTTATAAGGGCGTAGAGGTGGATTGTGAGATCCCACATCAGTTGGAAAGGAGAACGAAACATTCCTTGTAAGGTTCCTTATAAGGGTGTGGAGGTGGAATGTGAGATCCCACATCAGTTGGAGAGGAGAACGAAGCATTCCTTGTAAGGTTCCTTATAAGGGTGTGGAGGTGGATTGTGAGATCCCACATCAGTTGGAGAGGAGAACGAAACATTTCTTATAAGGGTGTGGAAATCTCTCTTTAGTAAATGCGTTTTAAAAACCTATACGTAATGGGTCAAAGCGGACAATATCTGCTAGCGGTGGCCTTGGACTTAGAGATTTGGTAGAAGATAGAGTTTGTAAACCTCTTAGAGACCCCACTTATGATTGATTAGGTTAATAATTCAAGAAATAATGCTTTGATATGCAACTTTCTACGTACTTAAAAAGTTCATCAATCATAATAGAACTCAACTCCATGTTTAAGTTTCTAAGTTTACAGTTTCAACTCTGTTCTATGTCTATATTGGAAATGTTGCAGCAAAATGGCTATGTAAAATACCAAGAATAGAAGCTTTTGTGGGGAAGGGGCAGGGGAGGAAGTTAGATGGTGTGTTCTAAGAGCATTTGGGAGGGTTGAGTGTGTTTAGAAGGAGGTTGTGTTTCTTGTTTGCTTTTGTTATTAAGAACGAGCGAAAACGAAACGTAAGTACATCATTTAGCGATGTCTCGACTCTCTTGTAGCTTCTTAATTTCATGCTTTACTGTTAAAGGAAATATATAGGGAACTTACAGATTGTGTTTTTGTGGTTATAAGGCATTTGCCAAGAGAAGTAGAGTTATTGAAAGTAAGAAGGGTAAGAAGAAGGAGCTGTGTCCTCAAGATGCAGCTATTATCATTCAGATAAGCTTTAGAGAATACCTAATTCACAGGTCAAAGGTTCTCCGTGCTCTTAGAGATTTGTCAGTTGCCAAGACAAAGTTGAAGGAGCTCAGGGCATCCTTCAATAACTATGCTTACAGTAAGCGGCTAGCTTGGGATGCAGAGGAGCGCCAGAGGTTCACTGAAAAGTTAATTGTCTTGCTCCTCACTGTTGATGCTATTGAGGTTAAGATCTCTCTCTTTCTCTCTTGTTTCTATCAGTGAATTAAAATGTGAAATATATGTTTGTTCATCAATTACATTGTGCCTATGATAATCTTAATTTCTTTTGAAACGATGATTTTCATTATGCAAAACTATATTTACTTTTAACTTGTAAGATGGTTTACTCCAACTCTTGCTAGCACTGATCAGGATTTACAATTATATTGGGTTCTCTGATGTACTTTCCCATTCGGGATTTCCCACAAGATTTTTAAACACTTATGCTAGTGAGAGGTTTCCACACTCTTATAATGAATATTTCATTCCCCTCTCTAACCCAGTGTCCACCTCCCTTTGAAGCTCAGCGTCCTTGTTGACACACTGTCCAGTGTTTGTCTTTGATACCATTTGTAATAGTCTAAACTGATATTGTCTTCTTTTGACTTTTACTTTCGTGTTTCCACTCAAGATTTTTAAAACGCGTCTGCTAGAGAGAGGTTTTCACACCCTTATAAAGAATATTTTGTTCTCCTCTCCAACCTCATGGTTTAATTTTATTTGAGTTCAATTGGAGAGGGGTATGAAACATTCCTTATAAGGGTGTAGAAACCTCTCTCTCTCTCTAGCAGAAGCTTTTTAAGATTTTGAAGGGGAGCCCGAAAGGGAAAGCCCAAAGAGACCCATATTTGTTAGCGGTAGACTTGGGTTGTTACATGTCTAACGGTCTGTTTTAATTTCAAGCTTCAGTTGCATCATTCTTTTAGGAGTCTGTCATATGAAGCTTCAAGCACAAACTCGAACCCTTCTGTCAAATATGAAAGCTTATATCAATGTGATTTCCGCACATTTCAAAGAAGTGTTATTAACTTATTCAGTTGGTTCTTTGATAAATAAACAATAAAAATTGCTACATTGCATTTTTGTAGGGAGTTGATTTGATGGTGCGAACTGCAACGAGGTCGATGATAATCGAGCTAGAGGCCATGCTTGACGTGGTCGATCCCCAACCTGCTAAAAGATCAATTTCCTTTCGGAGGAGGATGTTCGATATGCCCAGTCGAAGCATCAATGAGGAAATTGCAGCTGGTGTAGCGGAGGTAGTCGAGATGATTGATCAAGCAGAAAACAACGTCAATGCTCATGAGTCCTCTGAATAAAGTGACATGATATCTCATTGTACTGCCTCGTTCGAGTTTCGAGTCAGAGGTTCGTTTAGAAGATCGACTAGACGTAAGCCTTTGGCACGTTTCGATCTATGACTGAGCGTTTGATTATGCAGTTCTAACGTTCTTCAGTTTAGTTGTGAATTGTCTTCCAAATGCTTATGCTTCTTCATCTCTTGCTTGTAATCTGTCAGAACTATTTTCCCCTATGGATCGTATCTATGTGATATGCAACCTGTGGACCGTTTTGTTTTATTGCTGTGCTCTAACTAGCTCTTCACACTCCTTTATTCAACTCTACAACCCGAATTGACCTGACCTAACCTAAATTATAGGAGTTGGGTCGGATTAACATTTTGGGTTGGGTTGGGTTAATTTTTTGAACTAGAGGAGATTCGGTTTGGATTCAAGTTTATGATACAAATTTTTGGTTGATTCAACTTGAAAATCCATAACTTTTAGATTCATGAGACAAAACTTTCTACTTGACCTGAGCAAACATCTTATAATATATATTAAGAATTATGGGTGTACATTCAATCCTTTTGGATTCATATGACAAAACTTTCTACTTACCCGAGCAAACATCTTATAATATACATTAAGAATTAGAGCTGTATTTGAACTTTTAGATTCATGAGACAACTTTCTACTTAACTTGAGGAAACATCTTATAATATATATAAAAATTAGGGGTGTACATTCAACTTGAAAGTCTGAACTTTTGGATTCATGAGACAACTTTCTACTTGATCCGAGCAAATATCTTATAATATACATTAAGAATTAGGGGTGTACATTCAACCTGAACATCCGAACTTTTGGATCTATGAGACACTATCTACTTGACCCAAGCAAACATCTTATAATATATATTAACAATTAGGGGTGTACATTCAACCTAAAAATCCGAACTTTTGGATTCATGAGACAAAACTTTCTACTTGACCCGAGCAAACATCTTATAATATATATTAACAGTTTTGGGTTTAATAGTATTTTTTTTTTTTTTAATGGAAAATTTTGAAATTTAGGAGTATTTTTTATTTTGAAAATTTGGGCCCTTTTGAGTGATTTGGCGATATAAAAGCCCAAGCATGAATTCTAGGTCAAAATTGGTCGTTCGCTCATTCCAGCGCCCGTCGCCTATAAAGACTCATTCATTAGGGTTTTGTCTTCAATCTCGCAGTTTCGCCTTCTCTGTTTTACATTCCATTGAATCTGATTATTGTATCACCCTCTGTTCTCTCTTCATGTTCTAGTTTTTGTTTTCGTTCCCTCATGAATCAAATTTTCCCTTCTAGACTGACTGAATTTGATCACCAATATCTATTTTCCTTTATGTTTCATTGCTGTTATGATCGCATTCTCATGTATTAGCTTTAGCTGATTATTCTCCCCCGGTTTCCGTTTTTGTTTTCACTTCAATCTGTGGTTTTTGGATCTACTTTTTATTCTCAGTATCCGAAAGAAGGTTTTCTCTCTGGAGTTATATCATTAAATTCGTAACTTACTTTTGGTATTGAGTTTAGCAAGTAAAAAAGTTTTAATTGTGCATCATTTAGCCGTATATTCCGACTTTATTTGATGAAGTTACCACCAAGTTTTTTAAGTTTCTCATTTTTAAGCAGATTTGTGTCTCTTTATTGATTATATAAGATTGTTAGATTCAAATTCTGAAAAATGAAATGATGAGCATTATTGTTTTGATTGTCGCGATGATGGCAATTAATGTATTAGCTCTAACTGATCATTCTTGATGCTCTGTTTTGAAGTTTATCGGGTTTTCTTTTTACTGTAGTATTTCCTCTTCTCGACGTTCATATTGATTTTCTATTCATGTTTATACGTTTTTTGGAATCAAATTACCAATAACGAAATGAGGAACATTGACTTTTTGATTGCCTTGATGATTTCCTTGAGTTGTTGTAGTTTGTATGTCGTTTTTTAATCGGAATTAGCAAGCTTATGGTATTGGGACTACCTTGTTTCTTGGTTTCATTGTTCATCATTTAGCCGTCAATTTGAGCTTTATTTGATTTAGTTACCAGATTTTTCAAGTTTCAAGTTTCCCATTTTTATCCGCATTTTTCTTTTAATGGCTTTTGATTGGGTGTGTTTCTTCGTATTGATTTTAAGCAACTTTGAGATTGAAATTCTGGAGAATGAAATGATGAGCTTTATTGTTTTGATTGCTATGATGATGGCAATTATTGTATTAGCTCTAACTGATCATTCTTGATTATTCTGTTCACTTTTTACAGCAAAATTGGGTTTTCTATACAGGATTGGATTTAAATTATCAAGAATGAAATGAGGATCATTGTTGTTTTTGATTGCCTCGATGATGGCAACTATTGTATTAGCTCTATCTGATCATTCTTGATATTGTTTTTGAACCAGTAAAATGATCGATTGCTGTCTTGATATTAATTGAATTTATATAACATATTTATTAGATTAAATATTTTGTCTCTTGATGAGATTTATTTTATTAGTTACTCATCAGAAATCTTGATCGAAGACCGAGGAAGAAAACCTAGTTTTAAGGTTGGATTACTAACTCAAAAAGTCTTATAGATCAAAACAAGACTAAGGAAGAGAGATTGGTTTTAGGGTTGGATTATTGACTCATAGTGTACTTCGGATTAGCTTGCTACGCATGGTATATTGGATTAGTCAGTTTTGCAGTGGCTTAAACGAAACGTGAGAACCCAATCTGAATTATATGAGAAGGATTTCAAGTTTGGGTTGGGTTTGTTCTTTTGGAACCGGATCTGATTTGGGTTAGAAATTCTAATTATTGGGTTGATCTTAGTAAATAATTTTAATTACTGAGTTTTATTAATAGCTTCTTTTTTACTATTCTCTTTATCTATTGTAGGTTAAGGATCAACACCGAGTGCCAGTGGGAGTGAGTTCCATTAGATTTTTCTCACCCATTTGAAGATTTTGTTTTAATGCTTTATTGGAACTTACTTAGTTATATCACAATTTTTATTTTTTAGATAATTAAGGCTCTCAACTTGGACGTATGGAAAATAATATGTTATCCATAATTTTTTTAAATTAACTATTTTTATTCTTTTTAAATTTAAGGATATATTGGTGAAGTACCAATATAGTTATATTTATTATGTTAAAATGTTATAATACTTTATAAACTGATTTGGGAAGGTTTAATATTTTTTTATCTAATATTTTATTGAATATTTATGAATTTTGTATAAGAAAATTTAACAATGGCCACAAAAAAAATCATAAATAAATAAATAAACAAAGAAATAAATAAAAAAAATTCTCCCCTAACTTCTCTCTCCCTTCGTTAATCTCTCATCCCTCAACCCACCAAAAATAAATATTAGTTTGCAAAAAGAAAAGGAGAATTGTCAATTGCCACAACAAATTGAGAATGAGAATGACATATACTTCAACTGCCACAACAATTGCTCGATTGAGAATGAGAATGACAGAATGACGTATACGATTGAGAATGAAAATGACATATACAACAATTGTCAGATTGAGAATGAGAATGGCATATACAACAATTGCTAGATTGAGAATGACAGAATGACATATACAACAATTGCTAGATTGAGAATGACAGTATGATATTTAATTCGATAGAATGACATTTACAACAATTGCCAGAACATTTACAACAATTGCTAGATTAAGAATGACAGAATGACATTTGACAGATTGAGAATGACATTTACTCGGTTGAAATTCACTCCAGATTGGCATTTAGCAAAAAAAAAAAAAAAAAAAAAAAAAAAAAAAAAAAAAAAAAAAAAAAAAAAAAAAAAAAAAAAAAAAAAAAAAAAAA